CCACGCCAGAAGGATTCCTTCCGGCAGCGTTTGAACGTGGCTAAATCCTCCTGTGTCAAGTCTTCTCGCGAGGCCATTCTGGAGAATAAAAGTGTAAAGCAGAGCCTAAGTATGGGTATAGGTCATAGGGAAGACAGAACAGAGGTTGGATTAAGAAACTGGAATCTAAGGAGGTGGTGAGCAGAAGCTATGTAAAGAGTAAAATAACTACATGCAGAACGTTTAGTCTGATAAAATGAAAGACTCAGAGCAAACGCAAGAAGTGAACACTAAGACGTTTGAAAAAAATCGACAAGAAATGCTAGTAAAGAGAATTAAATTAAGAGAAGCGACTATGTAAACGTCTACTAAAAATAAAAATAAGGTGCACCATGCGCCGTGACGAGCAGGTAGGGGTTAGCGGTTCAGATTTGGAGTCCAAAAATGGATGTTCTGTTGGCTGATGCCATAAGGGTAAACGGCATGCGCCAAATGAAGGTTTCGAACCACATCCGTCCCTGCGCCTGATCTCATTTCCATGTAACATAAAAGAGTACGGTCAAGCTATATAACAAATAGAAACAAGCTCCGAGTTACGGTTATGTGTTAAAAGTGCTGGTTTTGAAAATTGCCAAGTGACACACTAATCCGGCTCTCCCGTCGATTGATTGCAACGATTCCTTACTGATGCCTTTATGGCATTCTCTTCAATAAAAGATCCGACTCGTTTTTTTTGGAGAATTAGTGCATATGCGTGGTACACATAGACGTGAGTGGGGCTTCTTCGGACACTATGTCCCCATGGGCAGAGGAACAGTGAGATAAAGCATGTGCAATCCACCTAAATTTTAAACCACTTAACAAAACAAGCAGATAATACACTCCTTGGCCAGTAGTGATTCGCGACATATGCAATAAAATAACGATGTGTAAAAGAGGCATTCAATGCAAAGGGGATGGGACATTTTAACAAAACCAAACTTTTAACTTGCGAAAGGTTAGGGAACAATTGGAACTGGTCTAAGACAGAACCCTTGGAGATAACCACAGTTAAAAGCGAACCCAAACAAGACAGAGCTTGTGTGTGGTCAGGCACCACGGAGGTCTGATATACATGTAGGGAAACTGGCCCGGTCAAATGACTGACAAACTATGGAAGACTTCAGAGTCAGGAACCATATTTGGGCGCGCCACAATTACGACAAAGACGATGCTTGCTGACTTGTGTGCAATACACCGGCAACGTAAAGCTGCATTTAGCCTACAAACTTTACGAAAGCAGTTCATGTTAATTCTAAAGTAGCTGGAGGCCTTTCGGCTTAAACAAGTAGAACCAACCAAATCAGCGACACATAGGTAAACCGGGCACTTGAGCCAAATCGATTTATAATAATCAGGGAATAAATAATGTGTGCTTTCAGCATTACAAAAGTAGTACGCGTCTTTAGA